TGGAAGTTTTCTGTTTACCATCAGAATCACTGCTGTCTTCCATCAGGTGCCGTGAAAAGGACATAGTTGATTGCGTTTATTTTCTCAGTTACTTCTCCCTTCTCTCCCTCTCCTTCTTCCCTTTCCCACTCCTTCCCTCCCTTCCTCTTTCATCCTTTTTTCTTTCTCTGTCCTCCATCCTTTCCCTTTCTCACTCTCTCTCCAATTTCTCTCCCCCCATTATTGGGATTCTAATATTAACAATTAGCCAAATACTGATTATTGATGGAAATTTGCTTTTACTTCCTTTTAGGAAAAAATATGAAAATATATTAACTGTGGAATTATTTAATTAAATTGATTTATTAGAGCAGGTTGATAATAGGCCCTTGCTTCAAAAAAAGTGAACCTTTTTTTCCCCTTTACTTACACGTTGATTTTATCAGAAGTAAATGTGATCAGCTGCTAACATTTTAGATGGCTGTGACTCTAACTTCAGGTCTTGGAAATGTCACATACATTTTCAGTCAGGAGGGCAACATGCTTTCGTGTGCAGTTAGACCTCACCGGCAGATGCTGATAACATCTACCGTGGTGGTGTGCTCTGTTGTCAAACAGTAATTGGCGTTCTTTGCAAATGGACTTTCATGCTCAAGAATTAACTATTTGTTATACAAAAAGCGTACCAAGAGTAAGACAGTGGCTCCATAACCACTTTTCTGAATATTTCCATACAGAATAATGTTGAGAAACAATTAGTAGTTTCTGTACAAAACTCTAAACAGGAATTAGTAAAATACTAAGTATGTGAAGACTGCAATACCACAAATATTGAGCCATTTTACTGGGGTAATTAAACATTAGAATAATCTTGAAACAGATAAGCAAAGTATTCAGAAGGCCGAATTTTTGACTCTCAGCTCAATGTTTTCCAGAATGTTTTCTTCTTAAATTCAGAAAAATGTATTAGAACTTGATAGTGGTGAGACGTCATTTACTTGAAATTCAGCATTGTTTTAAATGTCATCTCACTTTTAAGTAATTTCGAGTATATTTTAATTTGATACTTTTTATTTTAAATGCCACATATAAAACAATTCCATTTTCTGTGGAATTGTTTTTCTCCTTTTTTTCCTCCGTTAGTGTACATATCTAGTGGATGACTGGAGGATGGTCATCAGCTGTTAACTGTGGTCAAATCCAGGACGTGGGATTTGAGTATATTAAATTTCTTTTTCCTCTGGACTTGGCTATCTTGTGATGAATGTTTTTATGGGTCATTTCTATAAAAACATTAAAATTTTTTCTTTAAAAAAGAAAAGCTTATCTCATACCTATATTCACAGCCACCAAGCAGGAAGACTCAAAGGAACATGTTTCACGCCAGGTCTGGCAATGGCTGCAAAGCTCCGGTCAGCCAGCTGGACGGTGGCCTGTGCCTCCTCTCTCAGGGGTGCATTCATGGGGCGTTTTGTAGGCAGCTTTCTGTTGATACTTAATGGCAACATACAGGATGACCTTGATAGGGGAGGGACTGCTTGGAAACTTTGAAAGGTTTTGTTTGCTTTTTAATTCCACAATGTAAGTAAATAACACCAAGTGACAATGATTTTATAATTGGTTTTAGTAAAAAGCAGATGGAGGCACCTGAAGGTCCCTTATCAATCTTTTCTTACTGTTTTTTAGAGTCTGATATTTCTTGTTCGAGACTGGAGTTTCCCATATGAATTTTCATATGGAGCTGATGGTGGTGCCAAATTCTTGGAAAAACGCCTCAAGGTTAGATATTTAGGTGCATGAAATTATACCAATAATAATCCAGAATTATTTTTGTTGGATGATTTGCTGAATACTCTATAGCCACAGACTCACTCGACTCTTACAGGATCTCTACGACTAAACTAAGATCGATATTTCTTAAACTACTTTCAAAATTACAATTTTAGTACTATCAATAATTACGATATAGGTAAAGAATTCTTTATAGGTATCCATAAAACAATGACTTATTTCTAAAGATATAATTCTACTTTGAAGATTAAATCATTTCAAGATTGACAGTGCAAATATCAAGATTTGTGTTTTAGTAGAGGTTTAAAAGTCAGTTTAACAAAAATATCAAATTTCAAAATCACCAAAATCAATCTTAAAAACATTTGGCTAAGCAGCTCACGTAGAATTAGAGGCCTTCCACTCTCCACATCGTGACGGTTCACTATTGTATGACTC